TTATTAGCACTATGCCAGGAGAATTGTCAACAATGACTCTTCCAGCTCCATATGCAATGGACATAATCCGACACCATCGTATTCAGCCTTTTTGGGTTGAACATTTGAACTCCGCTTCCCACAGGATGATTACTTAATATATTAAAATTCAGTGGATCATTTAAAATTAAAACGAAAATGGGGCAATAGAACTCTATAATTGATTAGTCCAAGAATATGAAGCAGTGCAGAATTTAGCCAAGAATCGGGCCATCTGATCAAACAAGTTCCTGAAAATCTCTATAAAAGACCTAACAAACATTGGCAGGCAAAACCTTGTACAAAATCAACTGTCAAAGCAGCATGTAGAAAAAACTCACAGCAGACCAACTTCAAGGGAATCATCAAAAGCTAATTTGGTCCTATTCATTAACATTGGAAAAAGGGACTAAGTTACATAAACAAAGAAAAGCTACAAAATGTAATATGCCAAGGTTTACCACTACAACTAGGGGAGCCACCATTGGCAATATGGACAAGACGAGAATATCCTTTGCGATCCGAAAGCTTCTTCAGAGGACGGCCTGACTTGCTGCAAGGAACAGAATGGAAAAAAACAAGGAAAAAGCTTTTCATTTTAATAAGATACAACACCAAAAACAAAGGAAAGATTTTTTGTTAATAAGTTAAAGTCATGCAAGAAAACTCCAAAGCACCTTCCATTCTTTTCAGAAGACCTTGCATTCCGTTGAGGTTTAGTTGTCCCCTCATTATCCATTTTCTCTATTGTTGGTGACGGACTAGTCCTAGAAAATGGTGAAATCCTCCCACTACGCCCTTGTCTCCTCACGCCATCAACACTTTCTTCTTTGACCACAAGTTTATTCTTTTTCACGGGGATTGCAGATGGCCCAACATTCGGAGCAGCATTTGCATCCTTCTCTTCCCCATCTCCACTGCCTAAACCCTTTTCCTTTATTCTGATTTCACCAGCACCCGATTCTTCACTTTCTGACAATCTTACAGGAGACGGATCATTTCCGGATCCTGATTTAAAATTTAATTTTCCACTGGCAGAACCCTTGGTGGGAAGAGTGGCATTGGTGCCACTGCTAAACCGGGTGCTAAAATCTGAAGGTGAGCATCCTTCAGATTGCATCTGGACATCATCATGGCTTGATACAGGGATAAGGTTTGTCCTCCTGGTTCGTGAGATCTTCTGTGGCCTCTGACCAACCCATTGAGTAATGGGTGGAGATGATGATCCAGCAGGCATCGAACGTTTCCGATTGTTAGCCCCACAAGTAGTGGAGGTTTTATGTACTGCTTGTGGCTGTTCCCAGCTCTCCAAAGTCACAGATACACGAGGTATGTTAGAAGTTGAACTAGCTGAAACCATAGATCCGCTCCGTGGTGCCCTTGAAGCCTTCCCTTTTAATATTGGACTAGGACATATAGCATTGATGTCCTCACGATTACCCATCCTAAATGAAGAACACACTGAAGCATCAGCAGCAAAGCAAGGAGGAAAAAAAAATCGGTACTTTGGTGACTGTTAGAATTATACAACCATTTACCTAACATTTAGTTTTCCTAAGGTTTGCTCCTTCATTGATCCTGACAAGAGATCCCTTGAGAGCATGGATTTTTCTTGTTCATTTTTTAAGGCTGTACGAGCACTTGAACCGGCAGGAGATGAAACTGGATCTAGTTTGTTATTGCTACCAGAAGCACTTGACCTGTGTGTTTCGAAGAGTAATCGAACATCATTATGTTTCAAAGTCAAGCTGAACTCTCTCAAGCAAAATCACATCTCAACACAAGAAACAACAAGCTGGATTAAACCAAGACAGTTCAAAATATTGTAGAAAAAACAATTTGGCCTTCTCAAGCTCATATGAAAACAACAAATCACACAACATATGTATGGAAAGCTAACTTCCCTACATCATAGTTTAAGATAGTGCTTCTGCATGCAGACACTATCCACAAATACAGTGGCACAACAATCACATAAGGGAGCCACAGTGACGTGCAACTACAATTACGAACTTATGTATTCATATAAAATGAGGCATGTCATAACAAAGGGAAAAAACATTCTATAGTTGAATAGCTCTAAAAAGTTAAATAATAATGAAAATAAAATAAACCTCATTTAACTAGTCATCACACTAAATAAGTTTCCAACAACTTAAGCTGAAGCATTCAGAATCTGTCTCTTCTTCTTTGCAAGCATGTAAAATATCCTCTGCTAATTAAAATAGAACTTATCGACTCTGTATCCAACCAAGTACTATCTGCTGGTGTTTTCTCCAATCAAAGTGCTATGAAATGACATATTATATTCAAATCAACAGGCTAGTTCAGTTAAGAGAATGCCGACTCCAGAGATAGGCAAACTACAGATAAGTGAAACTCATGCCTCGTCAAAGCTTGCTAAGATTGAAGCAAAGTCGACGAATGTGTTGCGAGCTCAAATCAAGTTATTCCCACTCCCATAATCAACTATATGTATCTTTACGCAAATGAAAATATAAAATGAAATGCTTAAATCTCATTTAGATAAGAAAGTAAACACCTTAAGCATTTAAGCCATTAAAAAAAGACCAAAGATGTTCTCACTGGATCATATTGAGGCAATTCAATTCAGAAAAGATAAAAGGTGACTGTGATTTAACTACTGAAGTCCAACTGATGTTCAGTTTAATCGAAAACAATGTACAAATTCATCTCTAACTGGTTCCATGAAATTACCTTCCACCTTACAAACATCCAGAAATTCCCAATAATAGCATATGTAAAAAGCATAATATATAAATCAAAGACACATTAAACAGTAGCACAATTGCTAAAAGCATATACGTTTTGGTTTATAATGACACTGACCTGATACTAGGGGCAGAATCACATTGCAGGCTAGATTCACCAGGCAACTTACGATGCACAGTTCTTTTTAGTTCCCCATCGTTATCAATAGATCTCAAAAAGACTGCACCAACTGAGCGTTTCCTTTTCATTTTCTTGTCCCATCCTTCTCCACCAGCAGGTAATCTTCTTATTTTACCCTCAACAGTATCAGGATCTGCATTGTTATCTTTAAGCATGTCTCTTTCTCTTGCCGGTGCCACAGGTTGCCGCGGTGCTCCACCAACCCTACATTCTGCCTGAAATTGGAAGGAAAACAAAACAATAATAAATATACAACTAGTAAACAGATTGAAATGAAACCTCATCAAAGTAACTCCGCAGATAAGAGTATACATGATGGATCATTACCTGTGACTAATATACTAAGCCAAATACACATGACAAGGAACTAGTGATTATGGCGTACAATGTACAAAACTTTTTGGCTTTTAAGTAGATTGCTCAAGTAACAAAGGCTTCAAAGATTCCACCAGATATCTTCTACCTCTTGTTCATGATCCAATATATTAACAAACTGCATATTGAGGCCGCCAAGCAATATTTTAAATTTATGGCAGATTTAAGTCTTCCATAAACCAGTTGGGAATATACTGGGTATGTTGTTGTTGTTGTTGTTGTTGTATGGCAGATTTAAGTCTTTCTCAAGGCAATCCTGACCGATGGTAACTAAATTATGTCACTGAAGATGACCCATAATTTGCAGTACTCAAGAAAATAAAAGCAATTTAAGCAATAAAACCAAATAAATAAGCGAACTAAATTACACAAATAACAATAGTGCAGTTACAAACCCGAGTTTCTGCAACTGATGTCCGTAAGCGCTTATTCAATCCACCATTCTTAGGCCTCTCATCAAACATTAGATTTCCAAATTCAGCAGTATTTCGATGCATCATGGATCCAGTCTTCAAGGTTGACCCACTTGACCGTTCATTAGGCAGCATCTCATTCCTTTGCTGCTGCTTTTTGGAGGACACCGCATCAACATATTTGTTCAACTTATTCAAATGATCATCCAACTTCTTTGCTCTACCACTGGTCAAAGGTTGTAATATTTCAGAATAAGCAGATGAGGATCATAACTAAGGGCTCTCAGTGTGATTCGTATTTCAAACCATTCCAACTGAAAATTTATTTTTGCATTGGTTTTCATGTTAAAACTTCTATTACAGTTTTCTTAGATGATGGAAAAACAATAAAATTTATTTGGAAATGACAAAATCATTGATATACGTTCAGGTTCTGTTATAATAAGTGATTAGGTTTGTTCCTAGACATTACAGTACTATTTTCAAAATGAGATGTATCGATGTAACATTTTATAATAGTGATTGTGTCTTGCGTCCACTTCTAGTCCACTATCAATTTGTAATATTTATAGGAACTCCAATGAAATTGATAAAAAAATCAAATGGTAAAAGAATATTGACACAGATACTAGTGGCGGTCCACCAGTGTGTTTCGGTTAATACCACTGATTTTTGTACTTTTTGTGGAAACAAGTAGAACAACAACAACAACAACAAAGCCTTTTAGTCCCAAAAAAGTAGAAGACCAAATGAAATTCAATTGAAAGAAGAACAAGAAAAACATACTCTGGATTTTGAAATGATAGAATAACATAGAATGATTTCAGATATAAAGCCACCACACAGAAGCTAAATCTCAACTAATCATGAAGGTGACTGACAACAGAATCTCAATTAAATATCAGGTATTACTAATTTCACACAACCGACACAATTAGTTAACCGAGGCAGTAGAACACAGCATATATATACCACAGTTCATAAGGAAAAATTAATTAACCTAGGACAGTTTGCAATAGCATCTCAATAACAAAGTTCATAAGGATAATCATCAGCAAAACCAGAAAAGGGAAAAAAAAATGAAGCATAACAACTGTGTATTTCGTAAGCAATGATCCACAGCTCCATAACCAGACACATTTCCAAATAAACCAGCCAGAGAGAGAAAAAGATTACCTAGCTTTAACACAAGTATCTGCAACACTTGCTCTTAATCGCTTCAATTCATCCACCGCCCCGGGTGATGAATTCTTTAAATGAGCAGCACCAAAAGAGTTGTCTTCTGAATTGCTACCAACAGAAAAACCAAGAACCCTCCTCAAATCCCCAGACCGTGCATGCTTTTGATCATTGATAGCAATTGGCTCCAACATTAGGCATTGAGATAATGTAGTCACATCTCCCGAAGTGGAAACAGTTCCTCTAGAATTTGCCTTTCCGGAAGCAACATATTTGTTATCTACGCTCTCTCTGAAACTTGTTGATCTATCCAAAGTGGGAGTAGAGTATCCCCTTTGCCCCTCGTAGTAACTGGTCTCAGGGCTGGCCGATGTCAACTCAAATCTCGTATTTCCACCCATTACTGGGGTCACAATCTCATAATAAGCAGGAGCATCAGCAAACATAGAATCACGTCACAACTTATGAATCCAGATAAACTGTAGCTCAAAATGAAGAGAACAACAAGGTTTTTTAACTCTGCTCTAACTCTAACTAGCAATACATGTAAGAACTTGCACAAACAAAAAACCCAAAGCACATACAGAATGAGAATGCATCAGACCAGTTTGCATCTGCAGTAAATTCTAACCATTAAGCAAATAAATATTACATCAAACTCGAATAAATTCATCAGCCACAAAATCATAATACCCCACGACTCAATTGGGGTATTAGGGTTTTCGTAAAAACCTCCACCTCCCAACTCAGAATTTCACAAAATAAGAATAATTTAGTTGAAAAATGAGTAGAGAGCAGAAGTTAACCACCTGCATTTGGTCGACCAGATAAACCCAGCAGCAGCAGCAGCTAAAGATTTGTAAGAAAGACCACTGCAACTGTAAAGAAAACAGTGTGTAATCGTAGCTAAAAATTAGATCAGCGAATCTCCGATCTATACGTCGATTATGATGCTTCGCTTAGAATCATGACACGTGTACTTGTAAGAAAATTTAATTAAAAATAATATATAAAAGTATTTATAATTTTATTTAGAAATTATAAAAATAGATGTAAAACCAATAACGTGTAAGAGTGATAACTATTTAAAATGACACGTGCCTTTTACCCTAAAATTGTAAAATTGATATTTATTTAAATAACATTTATAAAAATATATATGTCTAATACAAATATTATTACAATTTTACAATTTACTTTTAAATTTTGTAATTTTTTTTACAAGTATGATTATATTATAATTATGATCTACATTAATTGTTTCACTTTCTCTTTTTGTCATATATTATTTTTTCAAGCATCATTAAAATATCAGAACAATTGTAATATTTGTTCATGTTAATCTAACTATTTTTATATAATCTTAAGTAAGTTTATAAATTGAATAAAGTAACCAAAAAATAATAATAAAGTAATATTAATCAAATTTCATCTCATAGTTTCTAATGTTTATTAAAATTTGTACATTATATAGTTAGATAGCTTGCAATTTATGTATGTATGCATATACTTTCACCTATTCTATCATGCCCCTACACCGGGTTGGAATAACTGATTTTAATCTGAGACTAGAGATCATCAATACGGCTATCAACTTTGGCCATCTATTGTTGTAACAATCGATGAAGATTAATGGATTGGTTGTCGAAATGAGATTGGACTGAATTCACAATTTTTGAAATCAATGATGGATAAGCCATTTGCCTCCCACAAAAAATGATGCGAACAATTTCGGGGTACTCTTAGAGTGAGCACTAACTCCACTCAGTTCTACTTTATCATAAATACAAAGAGTTCATATAAAGATTCAAAGAGAATTAAGGTAAGAAATGTCCTAATACATCATAATCGCCCACTTCGCTAATATTACAAGCATTTATTAGGATGACGTGTTCAACTAACGAACTCTCTTTTTCTTTCATTTGCTCAGCGCATGATGTAGTTTTTGTGCCAAAAGGGACGCAACAAGCATTTATTAGGGTGACATGCTCAACTAACAAACTCCCTTATTCTTCCACGTGCTCAGCGCATCATGTAGTCTTTGCGCCAAAAAGGAGATCTTTGGTTACTTGTTGACGTGGGTTGGTGTAGGTCAGACTAGTAATGGTTTGAGTCGTGCTCAGCGTATGATGTAGTCTTTGTGCCAAAAGAGGATCTTTAATTTACATAATATAGCCATTGTGCCAAAAGGAGATCTTTGGTTTACTTGTTGACGTGGGTCAATCTGGCTAGTAATGGTTTGAGTCATGCTGAGAGCATGATGTAGTCTTATTTGTGCCAAAAAATGGATCTTTGGTTTACATGATGTAGTCTTTGTGCCAAAAGGGGATCATTGGTTTACTTGCTGACTTGGATCGGTAGGGTCAAGCTAGTAATGGTTTGAGTCGTATGGCTCGTATCAATATTTATTGTTGTTTTCATTGTTACAAATAGGAAGAGAAGAAATATATTAGTTTGTTATGATGATAAAATATGCAGACGATTAATACCATACACAAGTTTTTCCCGAAACGATAATGAAAAAACAAAAATTCTATGGAGTCATCCATAATTTTATGTATTGACACATGCCCAGTGTGTATTTATTACATGACATGTGTCGATATACCATTTGTGAATAACTATAGATGACTCATAAGTCGAGCCATCCGATTACTTTATAACAAAACCGAATGAATAAATAGCAATTTGTAAGACTTAAATTTTATTTTTTTCTAACATTGCTTTCGTTTTTCGTTTTTCTTTTTTTTTTTTTTTTAAAAAAAAGTTTGCATTTGCTTGGGCAACCATGTTTCTTTTGTTAAAAATGAGAATTTTGTTCTTCGCCTACTACACTAAATTAACATGGCTAGTTAGAGTTGGCCACACAACATTCCCCAAAGTTCATTCGGAAATTTACATTAACAAAAAAAAAGTAACGTATTTTACTTCTCGACACGGCCATCGGTTTGATTCCGCAAGCAAGAAATCCTCAGGAACAAGTTGGACTCGCTCTTATTCTGAGTCTTCATCTTCTGGAGCAGGAATTTTATGGTAATGCCCAAACTGGCGAACGTATGGTGTTTCCCTGTCCCGTGAA